GGGAGGGGAGGGGAGAGGAGGGGAGGGGAGAGGAGGGAAGGGGAGATGATGAGAAGCATGGAGAGGGAGTTCTGTTTTGGCACCGACATAGGGCAGAGGGATAGTGTCATCAGTATAGATGCTGAGCAGTTTTCTAGAATCAAAGGATGCTGGTGCCAGATTGAGGCACGGTGTGGTGGTTTGAATGCAAATGGCCCCCATAGGCCCTCAGAGAGTGGCACTATTAGAAGGTGTGGCCTTGTTGGAGTAGGTGTGGCCACGACTGTAGTTCAGTGATTAGACTCAGTGTACTATGGGGAAGTCTGGAGCCTGCAAGGCAAAAAGTCATGCTAGGCTTTTTTTTTGGAGGAAGAGCAGAGCATACACATGAAGGACCTGGGTTCAGATGGCCCTGGATTTTAACAACCACACCGAGGGCATAAAGATCAGGGGGCAGTGATTCTCAGTTCCTGGTACAAGAGAATGGAGAGATTCCTACAAACAGAGAACTCAAAATTGTACTTTCCAAATGTTCTTTGTGAGGAAGCTGCCAGGTAATGTCCAACTTAGGAGCAGACAGAGAAGGCGGCAGCTTGGGCTATAGGGAGCAGGCGTCAGTGAGGAAGGAATAGGAACCCCGAGAGCCAGGGCAACCCCAGGACACCAGCCTGGCCTTTGGAATGCCTGAAGACGATCTCTGTTTGGATAGTATGAGCCCATGACAAATCCAGAAACCGTGACTGTCCGTGACAACTGGGTGGTGCAGAGGTAGAGGCACATCTGGGCACGTGCAGAGACGGAACACGCAGAGTAGCTCTGCCCCCCTCACCATGCCCACACTTAGCTTGCCAAACCCCAGTCTCATGTCAGAAAACCTCAGGGACCTTGTCCACTCCAGGGAGATAGAAGCCAGATCACGCCCCAAGCTGACCGACAGCCCTGACCTCTAGCTATGGTCCCTGCCCAATGAGCGCGACTACAACAGGCCTGTACCTGCGTGTGTACGCTATTTTTGTTTGCTTGTTTGTTTCTCTTTCAATTTCTTGATACAGGGCCTTATTTCATAGCTTAGGCTGGCCTGAAACACACTGTGTGGTCCAGGTTGGCCTCAAACTCATGGTGATCCTCCTGCCTCAGCCTGTCATAGGCTGGTATGACAGGCACTTGCTGTCAGTCTTGGTTTTTCTGTGCAGTTCTTTGGTGTGCCCAATACACTTCACAATGATGAAATAACAGGAAACACTTGAAAAAAGAGAATGAGGCAGACACAGTCTTTGCTCCCCATTTCCCTCTGCATATCGACGCTGTTCAGACTTCCCTGGGTACCAGGAGGCTCATCAAGTCTGCTCCCCATCACCTGGGCTAGCAAGTCCCCCAACTCTGTGAGCTCCCCCATCGCTCTTTCTGTAAAGTTGGGGCATAAGGAACCTCTTGGTGAGGACAGAAGCACCTATTTCTGTAATAATAATCACTTGGTAAGCTGGCTGAGCGCAGGGCTGCACAAAAGACCCAAGGAACCAAGGTTCTCCACATCCTGATGGGCTTGTGAGAATCGTATTGCAGTTATGTTATAACGTTGTCACCAAGGACCCTGGCCAACCCATGTCTCATCAATGGCCCAGAGGCCATCTCCACCCAGTTACTCACCATCCCCATAGTCTCTCAGTCAGAACCTCCCTCTGTTGGTCTCCTGCCCTTGTGTGGGAATGGTTTCCACAGCCCTGTGTGGCATTGTACTGGGCTGTAGTTTAAATGTGGCAGTGGGTATGGTATTAAAAACATTCTCCACGTGACATTAGCCTTCTGAGCTCGTCAGTGTGATGCAGACAGAGCCATAAGCCTGCTCTCACATACAGAAGGCTAGAGCGTGGACTGCGGTAGACCTTGGTGACAGCCACCGTTCCCTGAACACCATTTATGCCATGTGTGCAGAGCAGTTCACCACAGGGCTTCCCAGACCCAGTGGATCTGGAGAAAACAACCTGTCCCGGGCCCCTGGAGACAATTATGGCGTACTGGCTAACGGAGGAGGGTCACTGAGATCTCCGGCTCACAACCGGTTTGGTGGGCTGGGGCAGCTGAGTCCCAAGCTTGCATGTCTCCATCAAGCAGGAAGGAGCTGAAGCTGGGTTAGGGCTGGAAGAGTAGTTGAGACTTGCAATAGGCCTTTCAGGTGCTGGTGTGTGGGCATTAGGGCAGGTGCTGGTGTGTGGGCACGAGGACAGGTGCTGGTGTGTGGGCATCAGTGAAGGGATGGTGTGTGGGCATCAGGGCAAGTGTTGGTGTGTGGGCATCAGGGCAGGTGCTGGTGTGTGGGCATGAGGACCGGTGCTGGTGTGTGGGCATCAGGGCAGGTGCTGGTGTGTGGGCATCAGGGCAGGTGCTGGTGTGTGGGCATCAGGAAAGGGATGATGAAGAGGAGACATTCTGAGAGAGAGTGAGGCTACAGCCAGATTACTGGTTTTTACATATGAACCCTAGGGCCCTATCTAGCAGGAGACTGTACAGAGAGGCATTTCAAGGACATGAACACACAGAAAACGCCGGGGAGCGTTCAGAAATCCTATGCACCCACATGAGTTGAACCTCCAGGCAAATGACTCAACCTCAAAGTCCTTGGGCTAGTCAGTGTGCTAGGGGAGGGAGGCCTACCGTGGACTTGGTCATGTGCTCCAGGGCTAACTGCATGAAGTACTTCTGCCAGGCCTCTTCCAAGACATCGCGGGCTCCAATGACGGCCTGCAGGGCCTGGAAGAGTCGGAACCTGTGCCTGTTGGAGATCTGTGGAGGACAGGGGTTATGTTGGGACGATGGTGTCTGATGGTACAGGGGATGCTAAGGAGAACACGGGTGGGAGGGAGACACGCGGACACATTCATTTGGCAATTCTTAGGGGACACCTGCCTTGTGCTGACCTTGAGCTTGGCCTACAGACCTGAGGGGAAGGAAAGCTTGTTTCTGTCCTCAGGAAACTGCTGTGGGATTTAAAAACTTCACCTCCAAAAGGGAGGCCATCTCTTTATCAACACTTAGACTGGTTTCTCCTCATCCTCATTAATTCTTTCATGCATCCAAGCATTCATAAATGAATGTATCCATCCCCATGTTTACTCATTACCCACACCTCCCTCCTCTCCTCCCTATATCAACTCATCTCCCTAACAATCACTATATCCATCTGCCCACCAATCCATCATCCATCCATTTGTCCACTGCCTGCCCCCACGTATTTATTCATCAGTTTTTTAAAAATATTTATTTATTATGTATACATAATTCTGTCTGCGTGTATGCCTGAAGGCCAGAAGAGGGCACCAGACCCCATTACAGATGGTTGAGAGCCACCATGTGGTTGCTGGGAATTGAACTCAGGACCTTTGGAAGAGCAGGCAATGCCCTTAACCTCTGAGCCATCTCTCCAACCCCTATCCATCAGTTTCTACCATTTACTGGTTCTGCGTTCTTAGGTAAGTCCTCTCTTCCCTAAGCCATAGTTTCTTATCTTCGAGAGTCATAACCTCTACCTCACAAGAGTGCTCTGAGCATGTTGAGACCACGTGAGTACACTTTCCTCCCTCCCTATTTAGTCTCTTGGCACCCAAGGAGGTTGAGTTGCACCATTTTTTTACCCGAATGGTACAACTGTCCTATGTAGGATTCAGGGTTTGAGCCCCACTTGGGATCCAACCATCCCCTATGCTCCCACGCCTGCTCCAGGGTCCCAAGAAGCAGCACCTCTGGGTTGTCTTTGAAGTAGTCTTGGATGCTTTCCATCACCAAGCTGGGGGACCTCTGAGCCATCTTCTTCATCTTCTTGATGATGTACTTTAGTTGCAGAGGGTCTGAGGTGCCTATGTCCCGCAGCATCTTGAAACAGATGGCTGAAGTTGACAAGAGAGGTGTGAGTTGACAAGTGAGGTGCAGAGGTCACATTGTGTCAGAGGGTTGGGTGGGGAAAGAGGGACGGGCGTGCAGTGAAAACGAGAGCTGGACATATCGGTAAGGAGTCTGATGTTCTCACTTTTTACTTAGTCCCTCATGGGCTTTTTTTTTTGGTGGGGGGAGAGCAGAAATGCATGCTCATTGGCATATCCCTGTTCTCTCAATTCATAGTTCCCTGTGTTCATATCCCATCTGTCGACACACCCACCCATCCACTCATCCCTGTTTCTGCATAGCCAGTGATCCAGCTCTCCGTTTACCTGCCTGTCCACCTCACAGTTCTTTAACCACCCATTCACTCACGCGCTCATAAATTCGCCCACTGACCAGTCCACTCACCCACCTAGCTAACTACTATCTATCCATATATATTTTGATCAATTTAACAATATATCCACACATATAGTCATAAATTTACTCAAAAATCATCCCTTTATCCTTCTACACCTCAATTCCTTATCATTCTATACATCAGTTCTTTGATTCCCCCCCCCCCCCCACTGTCTATCCAGTCATCTGACAGCCCTTGGCATTGGGATGAAGAGGAGGGCATTCCAGAAAGAGGGGTTGCAGGTCTAAGCTGAAGCTCTGAGGCGTAAAATGGTATGGATGGGAGGAAGTGTGGTTAAAAGGAGGAGGGGCCAATTTTTGATTTCTTTTGTTGGTGCCCCAGGAGGCAAGAACAAGGTAGGGGTCTCAAAGACAGCTGCTCACAACTTTTTGTGATACATAAAGTCCTGGAGAGGGCCTCCTTCTTGTACACACCCTCAGAACTGCTTCTGGTGCGGGGACTTGATGGGACCTACTGCCTGACTATCTTCCAGGGCGTCCTCACCTGAATTGTAGGCCTCCTCCATAAACATCTGCTGTTCCTTGGGTACCAGGGAAGCCTGGCTGGTCTTGGATCTGCATAGCATGATGGTGGCAGGATGGGACTGTCGGTCCCAGGAGGCATAATCTTGAGATTCCTTGGTGCACAGTGACTCCTTCGCAGAAACAGAAACGTGGGAGAAGATTCTGAAATGGAGTAAGTTCCGCGTGTAAACATCGCGTGTGCTTACGCGTGTTCAAGTGCAGGGAGCGTTGGCACAGTTTGCTCTGGGCCAAGCTCTGCAGTGTCCGTCCACGCCGTCTGTCCTTCCACGCCTCTGTTCTTCTGTTTAGTGGTCTGGCGAGCCTGGAGTGCGCATGCCTCGAGGCTCCAGGACGCCGCTGAATAAGCCGAAGCTTCTTAAACCGGGTCTGACCCGCACAGGGCCATGAAAACCACATGTCGGAGTTCCAAGAACCTTGTTAGCGTGAAAGATTTCTGAACATACGATACCAAAAACAAATTCAAAATCAAACATGCTATGCATTGGAGGTGTTTGCCTGCGCTGCGGCGTGTGACTCCACCGCAGACTACATCCTGAGCACACCACCCACATACTCTGCACCCTATGCAGTGCCATAGAGAATAAAGGCTTCAGATAGTCCCCTGCCAGTCTTATGCAGCACGTAAGTATCAACTCAGCACAACTTTGAATTGTATTGTGGTGGAAAACAAGCCTATCCATCTAATTAGTAACTAATTTGCTTTCATCTTTGATAACTGTAAGATCCTAATACCAGATAATTGAATTAAGATAAATTATTTCACGGTTTTATGATCAGCCAGTGTTTGACTTGTATGCCTGTTGTACGTACCTATCCGTGGGCATGTTTGGCTTGTATCCCTATTGTATACATCTGCATCCCTGGGGTCTTATAAAAGTTTCTTGCACAACAGATTCTCCTGAGTGGAGAAGTTGAAGGTCTGGAGAAGACAACCTGGCCCAGCAGGGGTGGCAGACAGACAGGCTAAGGACCCAGAAGGGCTCAAAGTCTGACCCCAGCTCTATCTTACTGACTTGTAGGGTTTTCAGAGTGGCATAGGGAATACCCTGACTAACCAGATGTCCCCTGAGGGATCTCTCTGTGGGCAGATCTGCAGGAGCAGTAGGGGTAGGAGCACAGAAGATGGAGGTCCTTCAGTTTTGCAAAAGCGAGGAAGGATTCCCCCAGACTGGCAGTTGCCACAAAGGGCCGGAAGAAAGATACTCTTGTTTTGGATGCTGCTCAAATCTAGTTCTCCCATGACTCCATCTTGGCTTCTGTTCCCTGCTTCAAGAAGACCCCATCTGCTTGTTAATGTGTAATTCTAGTTCTGTACGTGCCTATGGGGAAGGTCTATTCTAGACGCTCCTTCGGTCCACAAATGAGGAGGATAAACACATCTGTAGACTAAACAAGAAGATCATGAAACATATTATAAAGCAGCCATCATGGGGTGTACTAGAAGGCAGTCATCTGTGTGTATTGAAAGTCATCATGGTTATCCTAGAAGGTAGCAGTCTATAATGTTTATTTATCCATTGTCTCATATTGTGACACTTGTCATGCCATATCTGATTCCTGCCATCTGTGTATCCATGATGGAGCAACCAAGACCAGGCTTCCTTCTTGTCTTATGCAAATCAGAAATGGCCACAGACAAACAAGATCATTGTCATCAGACAGTGGACAACATTGGTGCAGGATAACGGTCCCCAAGAGATGGGAAACCTACAGGGTGAGCCTTTGACTATGAAAGCTGGTTGATGGACCACAACCCAGTTTCCGGTGGGGACCAAGAAATCCTGTGACCTTGGTGAGCTGCTGATACAGTAGTGATAGTGTAGGGAGACCACAGTGGCCAGTGTTTGAGTGGAGGAGGCCTAGGAGGAACTCTAAAGGTCTACAGAATCCTTCCAGTAACATCTACATCTGCACTTGCTGCATGCGGGGGTAGGAGCAGAAGAAATACACTTTGAAATTAAGGAGACATTAGGAAGCACACTTATCCCACCTCCACAATAAAGTCTTTAAGAAGTCACATCAGCCACAGGGAAAATTCTACCCAAACAAGGATGCTCTTGCTCTCCCTGTTGAAGCTCTAAAAAGCAAGGCTCACAGAGACCAGGTCTTTTGACGGTTAAGATTCCAGGCAGAGGTGAAGAATATTTATATGTGCAGGAACAGCACCATACTCAACAAGGTCTAGTCCATGGTATCTGGCAGTCACTCAAAACTTACCAGGCATGCAACTTGCAGGAAAACAAACCATAAAAAGAAGAAAATTAACAGACCAGAATCCATACAAAGAGCCAAGTGTGAGGTACATTCAGAATTAGGGAGGCTGAGGTGGGGGAAATCACTGAAAGTTTGGGGCTATCCTGGGCAAGTTTTGGGTTAGCCAAGGCTACAGTGTGAAATCCTGTCACAAGCAAACAGATACATACTAATGCAGGGATCACAGAATCAATAGGTAAGGACATTAAAACATTACAAGTATGTCCAACATGGAAGAGTGAGACAAAAGGATGCCAAGGAGAGGTGGAAGAAATAAAAAAGGATGGAAATCACGTTTCAGATTAAGACTCCAGTGGGTGACTTGAACCGCAGACTAGATACCTTGGAAGGAGAAACTGACAAATGGAAAAGATCTGAAAAATGAAACACAGATTATAACATTAAAAGGCCGGGCCTGCTTGTTGGGGTTTTTGTCCTGCCCTGTTTCCCCAGCTGTTTGGTCCCAGAGAAAAATTACACTGAGATCTCTATAATTTATAATGCTGATTGGCCCATTAGGTAAGGCTACTTGTTAGCTAACTCTTACATCATGATTAACCCATTTTTCTGATCTATTTTAACCATGTGGCTCAGTACCTTTTTCAGTGGGGCAGCTCACATCCTGCTGCTTTGGTGATCTGGGCAAGAGTGGGGGGGAATCAACTTCCTCCTCCCCAGAATTCTCCTGCTCTCCTTGCATCATTTCCACTTCCTGTCTGGTTTTCCCACCTACACCTCCTCCCTGGCCAATCAGCGTTTATTTAAAACCTGATTGACAGAATACAGACAATTCTCCTGCACCAGCAGATGCAGAGAGGAAAAGATGGGATAGAATGTTGGGTGGGACAACTTATCATAGCTCAACATTTTTTTCAAGTTTGATGAAGACTGCAGATCCACACATCCTGGATGCTCAATGAGCCTCAAGCAAAGAAACACAAAGAACACACCAAGTGACATCGAGAAAATGCCACCTAAAACGGAAGGTAAGAAGACAACAACAACAACGACAATAACAACAACAAAAACCCCAGAAAGGGGAAAAAAGACACATGAAAGAAAATGACGACATCAGTGTTATTGTTAGAACACAAGCCAGATGACCAGAAAACGGGGGGACATCCCAGCTATTAGAAGGTGCTACCCAAGAAAATATCTTTGAGACCTTCAGATGAGATTCTGAAGTCTCAGACCACAGACAGCACTAGAGGTGTCCTCTGAGGCCGGAGACTGAGATCACCATGTGAACTAGCTGAATAAGGAACACCAGGGAGGCTAAATACGCAGCCAAGTAGGAAAGGTCTTTGTTTGCTTTTAAAATTTCATGTGAAATAATGCACTGTGAATCTATAACAAATGTAGAATTAAAAGATAGATAGCAGGGTAAGATCAGGGGAAGTTAGAGTGATGTGTTGGCAGTTCTGGCACGGTGCATGGTGTGATACAGCTCAAAGGGAGGCGGCACTCAGGCTGTACTGTGTACTCCAAATACCTAAGCAATGACTCAGGAGAGCATCAACACAAAATCAAAGCTGCAAAAGGACAATAAAGAACGTAGGTGAAGATGGCCAAGTCATCCCAACAGTCACATTCAACACAAATGATTCAAACATTGCGGTCTGGCAGCAGAGACTGTCAAAGGGAAGGAAGGCAGTGAGACTCAAGCATGCTTCCTGTAGGAACTCTATGTGTGCTGTGAGTGTCAATGTGCAGATGTAATCTGTACTCCCAAGGCAGAGGAAGGGGAATTATGAGCTCACATGTAGCCTGGGTTACACAGTGAGATCCTGTCTAAATATAAACAAAGCAGGTGCTGTGAAGACAGCTGAGAGCACTTGTCATTCTTGCAGAAGAGCCAGGTTCGATTCCCAGCATTGACACGGTGACTCGCTACTGTTACACTGTCTGTAACTCCAGTGTCAGGGATGTCTGACACCCTCTTCTGAACTCTGTGGGCACCAGGCATGCTTCCGCGCACAGACAGAACACCCATACACATAATAGACAAATCTCCCGTGACTAGTATCTACCTGCAAAACTAAACCAGAACATATCAAAACCAAGGAAAGGAAATGGTGAGAGCTAGACGGATGTTGAGATGGCCGAGCAATGAGGGCATTGTCCATCAGCCCTGAGATCGATCCCCGAGGCCCACATGATGGAAGAAGAGATTGGATCAACGGAAAGGAAAGCAGTAGCAGCGAACCAAGGTAGGGAGGACCTGGGAGGAGGGGAAAGAATATGATCAAAATACGCTGGATAAAAAATTCAAAATAAAAAGTGAACCACTCCTTCCCTCTCCCCCACAAAATAAAGAAAACCAAAGAATCCTGATACTGGTTCTTTGAAGAACCAAGTTCATTGACAAACTCCTTGTGGGATTTTCAGAGTGAAGAAGCAAAGAGGAGACAACACGAATCATTAATTTAAAACAGAGAGGTGCACAACTACAAAGCCTACAGGTGTCTGTAGGATGCTCAGGGAACACCGTGCATGACTTTACTCAGGCTAGAGTGACAAGAGACTGAGCACATCCCTTAAGGTCATGAAAGGCCAACACTCGTTTAAGAGGCAGATAACAAGGAAAGGTCGTATAGGATACACTTCCTACGGTGGACACTTCTGACCGGCCAGCTCCCGACTTTTTACAGAGCTTTTTTTTTTTTTGTGGAGAAATAATACTGACACTTATCTAGTAAACAGAAGAGGAAATAACAGTTCAATCCATTCTGAGATACCCAAGCCTCTTCTGCCTCTTCCACCTCTTCTTCCTCTCCTCCTCCTGACAGGGTCTCATTGTGTAGCCCTGGCTTGGCCGGGGGCCTATAACTCACAAGATCCACCTGCTGCTGTTCTTTGAGTGCTGGGATTAAGGGTGTGAGCCATCA